AAGCCGTTTGTAAACATTTATATGTTCCTTGTTATGTAGCAAAGTTATCAATTTGCAGCTTAAGTTTTTATTCAGCTTAACAGTTCAACTTAAAGACAGTGGGAAAGTCAATTTAAATTATATAAAATAAAAAAAAAAACCAGTGCATTTATGTTCTTCATAACACCAGTTTTTTTTTCCAAATGGTGCTATTTTTCTAAGGAAATTAAATAATTTTAAACTCACTCGTTAAAGTTATACAATGCAAACAAAGACAAAAAATATATTGAACTCATGCATTTCTGTAGCGTTAATATTTACTTTTCAAGACTCAACTAAGAGCATCAACACAACCTGTCAAGTTCTTTGACATCCCCCCCCCAGCCCATGTAATCAATTACAGTATACAAGAACAGTAATTCACATTTTTAAACACACAGTTCAACACTGCTGAAGCTGCAATATCCTTTTTCATCCCAAGCAAACCTTCACAAAGACAGTATCCCAGTGATCCCAGTGTACTTGCAGAATTTCTCTCATTGGGAACCGTCAGAAAACCAGAAGTTGCCACAGAAAGTTTTAAGTCAACTGCTTGTTTAAAAATAGATAATCCAGCATTTCAGAAATTTTCCATTTGGGTCTAAAAGCATTCAGGTTTCCAACAGCCAGAAAAGATTCATACAATTTGAGACATAGAGGCTAATAAAACTGGAGGGAATTTCTTTTTACTTTAAAAAACAAAAACAAAACAAAACAAAACAAATGTGGGGCACAAAGAGAGCTCAAAAGACAACACTGTGTTGACAAAATTAAGCCGTATGAAAGCATTTTTGTGATAGGACGATTTGTTTAGAAGTTTCTTATTGGCTTACTTTGCCTACCCCTCAAAGGAAAGACACCTCTCTATTCTCAGACTTGCTCTAAAAAGTTTCTTTTATCAGAATGCTAAATTAGTGAGATTCTCATGCTATTATTCTAAAGTGCAAAAACAAGTTAAGATCCCAACTTTTTAGTTCCAGGAAACAAGACTGCTTTTAGACCGTACCACAACTATATAGAGATCTATGTATATATATGTATATATATATATTATTTATATATATATATATATAAAATTATTTCCAAAGTTCTTGAGAGCTATCTTCTAAGGTCCAGTCTCTGACAGTAGGCAAGCTCAGTGCTTCGCTTTTGACCGACAAGGAGTTCACCAACTCACAGTGGAACTTGCGAATGTGTCTGTACAGGTCTCCAGACTGCGTGAACCTGCGCTCATACCACTTGCAGGCATGCGGCTTCTCGCAGGTGTGCACCACAGCATGGCGGCTCAGGTTGTGCGAGTACTGGAAGCTGTTGCCGCACTGGGTGCATGTGTAGGGCTTCTCCCCCGAGTGAGTCCTCTCGTGGCGCTTGAGGGTGTACATGCACGAGAAAGTCTTCCCAGAGAGCACGTGGGCACATTGACATTGGCGGCGGGCTTGCTGCGGATGCCATCCTGCTCAGGAAAGTGAGTGCTCAGGTGGATCTGCAGAATGTGGGGGCTGGGGAAGACTTTGTTGCACAGGGGGCACATGAAGATCTGGCCCGCAGGGCTCAGGATGTTGGAGACATAAGGGAGCAGACTGCTCTCCATGCCCCCTTCCACCTGGACACGCTCACTCTCTGTGGTCATCATTTCATCATCGCTGGCTTTGTCCTCCCGATCCAGTTCCCTCAAGACCGAGTCCTCCTTCAGAGGAGCCAGATGGGCCGGCCCATACTGTACCCTGTTATTAGTGCTCACACTTTCTTTCACAGTGCTATGTTCCATGTCATAGTCATTAGTGCCAACATCACTCTCATCACAGGAAGCCTCTTTCTCCACCTTCACCTGCACCAGGTTGCTTCTCAGCACGTCCTCTGGGACAAAGACTCTGTTGAGCTGCAGGGGCTGGCTACTGTTTTTCCAGCTGCTGTGGCGTGTGGCTCTGCCTCTCAGCCAGCCTGAGGGATGCCTGCTGAGTCTGAGGGCAGTCGCATCCACATGTTCCCAGGCTCAGCCGCCAAGTCCCTTTTGCTGGGCAGGATGTTCAATTTTTCATCTTCTCCTTCATCTTCATCACTGGGCAAGTCGCCTGCCATGTGGCTGCTGCCATCAGAGAGGCTCTCAACTTTGTCTGAACAACTTGAAGCATCTTCTTCCTTTTTGGTGCTGTCTGCCTCAGTGGTAGCTTTCTCTTTCAGCTTCTTTTTACAGACTTTGACAATGTCATACATGCGGAGATAACTGGCAGCTGCTAGCACGTCTTCAATGGGCAAGTCTTTGAACTGGAGTTTCCCTTCATACATGAATTCAAGCAGGAGAGCGAAAGCCGGGGCTGTAACAATGTCGCTGTTCAGATGAACAACGTCTCTTTTGTCCAGCTGGTCCTTGTGAAAGAGGTGGAAATGCATGCTGCATGAAGCCAGTACAGCTCGGTGGGCTCGGAACTGGGCATCTCCCACCAGAACAGTGCAGTCACAAAGAAAACCCTGGTGTCTCTGCTCGCTCAGACACTGCAGCAAATGTCTACTATGGTCTGGAAACTCCATACTGTCTTCATAAC